ACAAATAGTTAATACTATTAGTAGATTCTAAAACATTGTTGCGCTTTTATGTAATATTAGGACATTTTACTTACTTTTAAATTTAAAAGGGGAGCTTTTGGGTGTTTGGGGAATAACAGGAGTAAGTGGGTAGTGGGTGAAAAAAGATGAGACAAACAAAATAAAGATAGAAGAGAATTTAAAAATTATATGTGGAATATTATTGTTGCATACAATCGGGGAAATTTAAAGATATTCACATTCTGATAAAAGGATTTTAATACAAACAAATATGCTACATTAATTATTAGTTTAACAAAATTTGCAATTAATCTTAGTCTATGTGAAGATCACAAAAAATGAGAATCCTAGACATAACAATAAGAAGAGAAATAAGTGAATAATAATCATCATAATCGTGATAACAAAAAAGAAAGAGTTAGGTAAGCACTAAGTATACAGATCCCTTAAAACTACAGAATAGAGAAATGTAATAGTAATTAACCAACTATCACAATTATTATGATACCTTACAGGAAGGATCTCGTACTTTTATTATTCACAAGTCATTTTCATTATCCAGAGGAACTTTTGAACTAACGAAAAAATATTCTTTTTCGAGTCCTAATCAAAATCAAGAAGTTCTAATCCAGAAAAATAAGACGTCCACAAATGAATATTTTAGGGTTTGTATACAAGTTTGACCCGTAACAATATCTACTATTTGCGAGCAATTTTGCATTTCATGTCGATGAAGGTATTTTATAAATTATACGATTAAAAATAATATACACAAATATTCAAATAGCCTAGTATGGGTAGGAATAACGTTTTTTTAAGTCTTTTATGGGCATTTTTATTTGGAAGTAGTTTAAAAACAATTGATAATCGCAAGATAACTAAAAAGAAGTTAATATATGGTACACACACGGGTTGGTTATAAAAATGCTTATCCTTTTTTTAAATTCAAGTAAGCAAAAAGTAGAAAAATACAATAGTTACGTGTTACATAAAAAGGGATCACACTTCAAACTGCGTCATCATGTTGTATGTATAACATTTCACTTCTTTTGCATGTAACAATAAAAAGCATCAAAACAGTTCGTTGTTCATTAATTAAACACTTCGAACTTATGAAACATCCAAAAGGATTTGATCATAGAATCGCTTTTGCGCCATTACGAAAGATGCATAATGAGAAAACCAAACAAAAGAAACATGTATTGGCCGAACAACACCTCGCTGAAGTTTTGTCAGAAAAAAATCCGCATCACAGAGTTATTGCATGTAGAAATCATGATCACCACTAAATTAGATCAAACTTTGAAAAATACAACACATTTGTATTGTTATTTCGAAAAATCATTAATTTCAAACAATTTAATAAAATCGTAGTAAGTCTATATGTACACAAGGACGACGTTGGTGACGTGACGATGGTGCAACGTCTTCCAAGCAAAAAACAATATTACACCTCTCACAAATAATTTTTTCTTTTTATAAGCAAATATAATATATATTTTCACAGTTTTTTCCGCGCTCATTAATGCTCTTACGGTCTTGGCTAAATCGTTTCCTTTTGCACACTGCCAATGATAGTACTATCACAAATCAGGCAAGGTAGCTGTATGTGTCCTTTTGACCTTCTGTCCTCTCTAAATACTCTTTTTCGATCAATATATCGATACATTTCTGGAACAAATAAATAAAAAATTTAGATAAACTAATTGCAAAACAAAAATTTGTAATTTTTTTCCATACAAACATAAAGCATACTTTTCTTACGGGGTTACGCAGAAAAAACTGAAGAGATGTCCCATATCCTATAATCTAAGACCATTAATACACAGTAAGATACTGATAAACAAGCGCCCAGATATTTCAATTTTTTTAATATTAATATAAGTAATTTGTTTTCCTACCTTTATAATTTGTACTTTCGGCTTAAATCGCATCGATAATTGATTCAGTACTTCTGCAACGAGCTGTTGGTGCTTGAGAACCTTTCGCATTTTCATAATTCGAACAATAGCTGCCTGGATCAGTAGCTTTCTATCTTCCTCGATATGTTTGTGGGTGGTTTCTTGTTCCAATTTTAGTTCTGTCTTCATTGGAATATTTATATTCACTCGGAGCTTTTTACTATGAATATAAAAAAAGAAAATTGTTTTAAAATACCTCTTATTATTTAATGAACAATAATATGTAATTCCAAAAATTAAATTGACCATACTTTTTATAGCTAGTAAACAAGGCCACCACTGAACTTGGAGCTAGATCATTTTCATCATCATCACAGACCAATAATTTAGCTTTTAATAAAATTTGTAAGACCTGTATAAGAAAATCGGTCTTTATTTGGGTGTTTTCAGACAACTGAGAAATTGTCCAGGCCTCTGAAACGTTGTACTGTAACAATATTGCCATTTGGAAAGTGCTGGCTTGAAGTGTGTACCTAAAAATGAAAAATTAAGAGTAAAAACTAGTAATTTTAGTAGACAATGAATAAAATACCTATTTTTAAAACAATTGGTAACCAGTTCACCTTTTGACATGTTATACAGCCAATTTAATTTTCGACCCGAATGCTGACTGGAATAGAAACTGGTAAATCTATGAACACTGCGTTCCAGCTGTAAAAGGAAAATAACAGTAATAAT